TAGAGGAACATGGTGCTACAGAGAGTACTACACTGGTGGCAGCTTTTAAGGCAAACCAAATACAATACAGTACCTTGACATGTGCTTTTTATTGAACCCATCGCGCAATTCCTCCGCCTGTGGCCTCTAAACTGTATACTACCTCAAGCTGCAACATGCTTCAAATCCAAAAAACTAGCTACTCTTTTCAGATCCAGCCACTATATAAGTCTATCTTCCAAAACCACAACCTCCCCACAACTCCCGAACGACTCCACCCGAAACGCAGCAACCATGACCGGAACGCCTTATCGCAAACCCCCCCCAAGTCGTTGCTCATTACGCTCATAAAGGAGCCAGAACAAAAAAGATAACATCCTCTCCATGCCATGGCATTCAGGTCAGGAACCATCGGGAAACCAAATGAAAAAAAGAACACACACTCACCGCACTCACCCTAGACCATATGAAGCAAAGAAGCCAAATCCCAAGACACCAACCCTTTTGACCGTGCCGCGCGTGGATACGCTTTGATTTTTGGTCGCGACACGAACCGGGTTGCCTGAGCTTCAGGCGGCAGCACACGGAGCTCGGCTCCGGGCAGCTCTTGCAACGCCAGACGCAAAGTAAACGCTCAGGCGATTCCGTGAGGGCCGCCTGGTGGGAAAAAGGTCTGAGAAAGCTGGATTGTCCATGCAGGATGATGCAGTGCTTCGCCGTTGCTCCTGCAACTTTGACCGCTGTTTCAACGTTGGTATTTCTTCCCCTACCAGAATGTCAACCTGCTCCATATGTACTCGCAGCGCGGAATGCACATGTGCCTTTTGCTCCCACACTTGGTTGAGGGAATGATGTGATGATGGGGGCAGGAACTGTGTGACTTTGATTGGCTTCAGAGTTGCAAAAGTACTTCATTCTACAAATAGGGGAATCAACTTGGAATCTTAATACGCAATGAGACTGATGGCAATGCCTTGGCTTGTTGTTGAGATGCTGTTCACCATGCAATTTGCTGTTGTCTTCATACCCTCAAGGTCTCCACGCCTCGCCCAGCCAAGCGCGAGGATCAAAGGAATCCGAGCCGAACTGGGTGCCGAAGAAGTGCTTGTCGAGCCTGGACGGAGGTGCAACGGTCACCACCGGTCGGACGCGGTGCCACCCGAAGCGCCCACATCCACCGAACGAAAGCGAGGTACGGTACGCTAGTAGTTGGAGCCGGGAGTGGAGAACCCCTTCATATGGGCTATGGATTGAAAAACCCTCTTCATATGAGCTGATTCATCAAGAGAAAAGCCAAAAGCAGAGCCTAGTAGATGTTGACCCTTGAAGATGTTTGCTCCAAGGTCTTCCACTGCAGCCGGTAAAAGCAGCTTAAGTTGCGGCCTGCAACAACCTGCCTTTCTCAGGTCTAGTCATAGCTGTCTTCTCTCTGTTTCGTTTCGTCTCGTGGCTGATTGGAGGAGGGCTTCGCGGGCCTCATGGGAAGACCATGGTTGACCTGGAAAGCGAAGCAGTTGAAACCCTGTAGATTCTGCCCTTCGCAGCTTCACTTAGTGCCACGCCGGGATGTCTGCAGAGGCTCTCTGCATGTTCGGATGAACAAAAGCCAACAGTCCGTGAGGAGAGTTTCTATAGTCACTTCCAACTTTGAGCATTCAGCACGTGCCATCCAAGTATACATATATAAGTACACCCCCCTCAGAACTCTTATGAACACAAATCCCCAAGACTGTTTTATACTGGCCAATCCTATAAACCACTGTGCTTAGATTGATTCGCCGATTGGGAGAGGAGTCAAGTCGTCTTCCGTCTTCCCGGAAACGAGACGGAACATCAAATCCAATCAGCTGCAGCTGCCTGAGACACTGAAACACCACTCAGCCCTGCCCCACTCAGCCCTGCCCCACCTCTCACTCTCGCAGGTTGTCGCCGTCGAGGGTGCCGAGCTGGGTGGATGCAGAAGAAGCTCCAACGCCTGGGTCGGGGTTAAGACGATTTGAAGAAGGAGTCTCCTTCAACTATCTACAACACTAAATATATAATAGATATTATAAAAATACTATATGTTTAACTACAATACCCGTGCTTTCAAAACAATTTATATTAAAACATTGACTCTTGACTCAGACCCGTGCTTTCAAAGGCTCACAGTGATCAAACTTGCAAGTTTTCGACGTGGCTGTGTGTTTCAGCGACGCTTCCTTGGGCGTTGATAACTCTTTGTCTTCTCTCCTCACATCTTCCTTGCGTCTATCCCATTCCCAGGGCCCAAATGGATGATGTTTAGATTTCAGGCCAGGCGGCCTGTCTCGTGATCATCTTTTACCAACGGCTCAGATCTAAGACATACGTCCACTGGACACTCTCTCTTCTTGGCTCAGCCGGCCCACCTCTTGAAGCCTCAAGAACTCCTCGCTCGCAGCCCTCACGGAGCCGCCCTCGACGTAGCTCTCACTTTGGCCCTCAGCTCTCTGCTTGTCTGGGTGGCAACGCCTCGGCTGCGTTGATCAAGGCCGCCTTGGCCTTAAGAAACTCCACATGACGAGTGTAAGACTCATCCAACATGGAGACATCCCAGGAACTCCCGTGGACTCAAAACATGATGGGAGAACTGACAGGAACTGCAAGGAACTCATAATTTCTTCATAAATATGATGAATATGATTGAATATGTCATCAGAATGATCATATCGCTTAGCGACTCAAACACCCAGCCCTTAAGCTATTTGGTGAGGTACGAGTACACAGGGCCTTCCAAGACCGGTGGTTTTTGGACCCGACCACACACAGGTGGTTCTGGGCACTGAACTTGATGGGGCAGGCACTTGCAGGCCGACAACCATCGATATCTGCTTGTTCAACTCGACGGCTTTACAGGTGATAGACCTATATATAAGACTCGACGAGTGAATATGTGCATCAAACCAACCACCAAACACTAAGACCGTCTCTTTCCCTCGCCATTCCGTCTCACTCCTCGACCCGGCGTGGACGTCCGAAGACGGTCACTCTCGTCCGAAGGGCGCCGATCGTCCGACCCGTTGGGGATTCCACGTCTCCGGTGCTTAGCCCGCCCCATCCGGGCGCCTGTCCCACCTCGGTAGCTGCACCTCCCCCTGGCAACACCTACCCCAAGCACCGAATCACCGAAATGAAGGTGACTCGCCCATGGTGGGGGCCGCCCGAGTTCTGGATCTCTCTAAGAGACAAGACCTTCCCCGGTCCTCGGAGCTATAGTTTGGGGTGAGGTTTTGTGCCATGTGACCTTCCAACAAATACGGATCCAGGATGTAGTTGGATGTAGCTGGATGTAGTATTCAGAAGACCTTTCAATACTACAAGTATACTACCCCTGTCCAGATGTCCCAAATGTGAGGCTTTTTGGAAGAGAAAGCAACATACAGCCACCAAATGCATGGTCATGTCATAAGGATAAAATCGGGGGGGGGCGGGAAGGCACGCCGATTCCCATCAATTCACACACCCGGTCCTCTCAACACCAAACCCCGATCCTTCCATCCATCCTACCCCACCCCGGTCCCGTCCCGACCTCGCCGCCGCGCGATAGGCGCGCCGTAGCTCGGCCTTGGGGAGACTCGGAGGATCCGACTTGACTGCGGTGGATGAGGAAAGCAGGAAAGCCATAAACCCTATATAGGGCTCCGTTCGGCCCACCTCCGCAGGTGGGTGGGTGCCTTTCTGGGGGTCGAATACCACGTTCTGAGGAAAGCAATAAAATGAGACCTCCCTGAAATCATGGGACTGGAACTGGGCCAGGATGGCCCAATGGATGCCATATAATGCCATGCTTCCCTGGCCCTGTGCTTATGAAGATGCATCGGTCTACTAGTAGACCATAGTACACCGTGTACACTCCCTGAAGTCCTCACGGAAGTGGAGAAGTGGAGTTCGGCACCACCTGTTTGCTTCACCAAAACCTGCCATTGCTTGGTCAAAGAAAACTGATTTGCGACCTGAAACCTGGAAAACCACCACCTGAAAGCTGATCTTCGGATGTGCATGGTCATCGTAATGAAACGGCCGTGCAAAAAGAATGGGTTACAGCAAATCATGGTCCAAAGCAGCAATTGGTTGCAGTACGGCCACGGAAAAAAGAAAAGGTACCAACACCCAGACTGAATGGAAATTGTGACTATAAATACTCCAGCTGTCCTCCTGTTCTTTAGGTCTGCACATGGCGGCACAATGCTGTAATTGCATATAATTACGATGGTCATGTGCGCCTTCTGCAAGTGTCTAGCTGTGTCCGGTCGAGCCTTTAGACATCCTCCAGAAAGGCCGTGTTTTCTCATGCAAAAGTGGCACGATGTCGTGCTGGAAATAGTCTAACGATGTCCAACGTGTTTTTTGCTGGTGAAAACGTTTTCCTTGACTGCAATGTAGATACTTAAGTAAAGCTAATATATCCTGCATTATGCAAGTGTTCGCGCCCACACAGCATTGATCGACAAAGATCTGCACAGCCTCCCACATTTCAGAGACAGCGCTGTTTTACATATCGATGCATAATTTAGCTAACACCCAGGCTTAAAGGGGCTGGTTGAAAGATCATCCCATTTGGGATTGTAAAAGACCTCTTCAGGCTTAAAGGGGGTGGTCGAAATATCATCAAGGTTCTACATTGGGTGTACCCCCGTCCACATCGGCCTCCTCCGCATCTGGAGCCACGCCCAAGCAGCGCGCAGCAGTCCGTGGGGTGAGTGGCCGCGACGTCGTCGCGTCATCGCACGTCATGGCGCCAGGGCAGCTTGGAAAGCGGAGAAGGTGGGGGATTTGGGGACTGACTGGTTTCTTGAGGATGGTGAGAATAAAAGACCAGGAGTCACATGGAGGGCCTGGGTGGTTTGGTTCGTCCCATCCAGGGGACGTGGATGATAATTAATGGGCACCCGAGTTCCTCCATTCGTTCGGCACCTGTCTTGACTCGGTCAGAGACGTCTTTTTGGTTAAGAAGCTGACTCCACATCACGTGGGGTTCAACCCAACCGGCGCCCATCAACTCACCAATCCTCGCGGGCCGGGGTGGGTTTGCCAGCCGTCTCTGAGCCAGTGCTGCGCTGCCTTCCAGCGCTGCCTTCGTTTGGCTGGATGAGTTTGGCTATCAAAGCCGTCCCCCGCGTCCCCCGTTCGCACCGCCGCACCCGCACCCCAGCGCGTTTTCCGGCTCGCTCTTCGGCCAGTCGATCGGACTCGAGCCGCCAGACCTTCGCCTGCAGGAATGAAGACATGAAGGCGGATGGTGGATGAGGTTGAACTGGAGAAGAACCCGGAGCAATCGAATGGAATTGGAAGAATTTGCTACATGGGCATGGGTCATAAATCCTGAATGAATGTAACTAGAGTCACTTCAGTGATCTGGATGAGGCAGATTTGAAGATGAAGGACGCTTTTGGGATCGACTTCAGACCTCGAAAGTCGGAACCCAAGCGTTTGAGACTCAAGACCATGGGGTGACCCACTTCCGCGGCAACGACTCCCATGGGTGTAATGGGTGTATACCCAGCTGACCGTCGCAATAGACTTCTATGCCGCGCTCCGGCCAGGAGAGTCCAAGAATGTGATGAAGCCCAGGGCCCAGATAAGGTAAGAGATCTTACACTCCAAATGGGGGTTCTACCCCCAAAAGCCTAGCAGCAGCACTGCTATCTCAAGCTCAGTGCACTCGACACCCGCTTACTCTTAAGCGTCACTTCTTGCGCGCTCCACGGGGACCACGACCGGTGTGGGTCGTGGCCCGGTGCCATGGGTCGCACCACGAGTCTGGGACTCACCCTGAAAAGCATTGCAGGTTGACCTCCTGGCTGGTTGATCTTAGCTGGAACACAGTGTGTTAAAAACTTGTTGGTGGCATAACCCACAGCCATATTGACGACCAATCAGACCAGGGCTGGTTGATTCAGACGTCACTGCAGGCTGTAGGCGGCTTTTATTTCTTCCAGTCCCAGACTGGTAGTGGGTGGTGTATGGGCATTCCAGTACAGACCATTGAGAAGATGGTTGAACTGGTTTTGTCGTTGTCCAAACTCCTTCGTAGAACCAGCGATTACTGTCGGATGGTGAGAAACAAATGATCCTTTCCATAGATGCCTCAACTTCCAACACCACCTTCCACCCAATCCCACCAATGACAGTACTCACCGACCCGTGAAATGGTCTTCATCCTTTCCACGGATCTGGAAACCGAACCAGCTCGCTACAGTGAGGCCTCAAAAGACTCAAATCGCCCAGTCAGACCGAACCAGGTCGGCGGTGTGGGTGGATCCGTCAAATCCGGGCGCCGGCCAGGACGCACGTGTCCTCGCCGGAGGGCCTTCGGTTGGTAACCGAAGGTTATATCCATGAAATCCCCAAGGCCCTTCCCCGATCCCATCCTTCGGCCTCACGAAGAAAGAGGTGTTCGAAGCGATCCACCGAACCCTGGACCGGTCACCGCGCCGGTGCCGGTCACCGTGGGGAAATGGATGAAAGGCACAGGGACCTTCTGGGAGGCAGGACGCCTCCGTGATTGGACCAAAAGTGAGGTTCGGTGCTGGGAGTTTAGGGCTGAAGAAGATGAAGAAGAGGGTGAAGAGGGTCAATCAGGGTGAAGTTGTGAAGATAACCATGACAGGATCACTGATAAACAGTTATAAGGATAATGCTGGTGTGATCGGGCGTCCACACTTAAATCATCAATTTTTTTCGATACTCGTTCACTGAGACTGGATCTGCCAAACGTTCTGTAAAAAATCGGGTCCACAAAATCAGGCCCATTCTGAGTGATCCTGGCTCTCACCCTTTGCACTCACAGAACACGTGAACCTGAGCTTCAACGGACTTTCACCAGCCGAGCCGGCCTGCAGCGCGATGCTGTGCCTGAGCCCCTGCAAGTCAGTGAAGCTGATGCCTCAGTGGCGCAGGCGCATCGACACGCCACCCCGACCGGTGGGGACCGGCAGGACCGACAGGTAGACCAACCTGGGAGATTGTTGACTACCCAATGTGGTGGTGGAACTGGGCTAACACCCGGTGCTATGATGCTGGAACGTCGGGGAGAGCATGGACGGAGACAGTCCAAAATAGGATATGGTGATGGTCGTGAGGTCGTTTTCAGAGTGGTGCGAGATATGCTGCCCGAGTGGACTTGCATTATTGGCATTGTGTGCTTCCGCTTGCTCTTCTTCTCTGCCTCTTCCAGAGAAAAAGAAAATAAAGAGGTACAAGGCCTCACCTCCACCTGACGCCTGCACCTGTCCTGCTTACGCCACCTGCACGCTACAAGAGCTACAAGCCCTCCACCTGACGCCTGCACCTGTCCTGCTTGCTTGCCTGGCCCGCTCTTAGGCATAAGCCTTGAAATCAACATCTCAACATATCTGACCATCTGAATTCAGATCGGAACTTCCGCATCGATAATTTCTCAAAAACGCAGGATCTGTCCATGGGCAAATCTCGGCAAAGGTTCAGTCATTTCTGTGGATGTCCGCTTTGCGACCGATTCACCTCTTTCTTGAACCTAGATTAGCATGGAACCTGAAAACCACTGGGGAGGAAGCTATAGTCTTCAAAAGGGTCCATGTTCTGGTTCCGATCTCTTCCCGGATCCACTTCACTTATTTTTGTTGATCCGTATACACCAATGAAAACACCACAAAACACCTCCTTTCACTCCCCAAGTCTGCGCCAAACAGAACCACGCGTTATGGCCTTTTTGGATTCGGCAGAATCGTGAAACCCCGGACGTACAGATCTCTGGGTGGCAACTCGAAGCTGCAAAATCATCGAACTCTCAGATTTGAGCTGCACAAATGCACTCGGAAAGGACATCCAACATCATCTAGCAGCGTGGTGAACGGACCCGCTCCGAATGGCTCCGAATGGCTCCGTGTTTCAAGGGGAATTTGGATACCCCGGCTCCAAATCACTCCCTCCTAACCATGATGGTCACTGTTTCCGGGTCGCACCGAATAGACAAATTGGCAGCAAAGACTGCTTTTCTGCCCAAACAAGCAGCTGCCAATCTGATCTTAGGTCCTGAGTCCCCTGCATGTGACCAGAATCCCGAGAAAAGGTGGGATGTTTCCAAAAACCACTATATAATGGAGGATTCCCGTTGTAGTCACAGTACTTTACTTTAGTGTGCACTGGCACCCTCTCATCGAGGCTGGTGTGTTCGACACTTTGATGTATGTAGGTGAAGTGAGGGTCCAGCGTACCTGCTGAGAAGGTGGCAATGGATCCCAACTCTAACAGCAACAAACTTTCAGAAAGGCACACTGAGATTCGGCCAAGCCTTCCTTGCTGATAGATGATGATCTTCTTGACAATCAAACTGCCACCCAGACCAGCAAGAGATGAACAGAGTTGCGACTCTTCTGCGGGTCGGAAACGAAGCCGATCGCTTTGTCGAAGGAGCAATCAGACATGAACTTACTAGGATGTTCTTCACTCGTCGCAGAATCCAAGTGATTTGTTTCACTTAATTACAAAAGAACTGCTTACTGTTGCATTTGTCTCAGAATATCTCAAAGCTCAGACTGGCAACACACCGGGCCAAGTTCAACTGGGTCCAGGGTTTGTAGCCACTCCCGACCGCAAGGGTAAAGCTGTGCGACCTCTCTTGCTTACCGCTCAGGATCCTGTCGTTTAGTTTTGCAGCCAGTTTACAGCATGTTCCTGAGGCTGCAGCCAAGCCAGTGCGGATCATTTCACGAAACAAAACAACACTCATGTTATCAGGCATCTAGATTGAGATGAAGTGTCCAACACAACGAAAAACCGAACGAAACCCACCCTTTCGAACGAAACCCACCCTCTCGCTGTTTTGGTGTTTGGGTGACAATCCCTGGTGTTCGGATGCTCTGCCTACTTCAAGTGATCCGACTTTCCCGGCTCGTTCTCCGTCCCCGCCTCCGCTGCTCGTTTCGGCTCCGCGTCGCGCGCCGGACAGCCCGTTCCCATCACTGAAAGGATTTCGTCGGCGGCTGACGAGCGGGTCCCGGTCCCTTGCGCATATTCGGAGCCTTTGGGAGAGATGGCAGAGATGTCCCTTGAACACCTAATAGGGGGCGTCTCCCAATTTTCCGACGGGGCCGGGCTATCCTATTGGATCCTATTACCAGTAACAGTGGATGATGGTGGTTAGTTTCAGGTGGGTTTCTCTAAAATAGTGATAAGTGTTTCCCGACGGATACAGGTAATAAGACAGACTCGACCTATTCCAATACACCCACTTGAATCTCTGTGGCTGTTGGTGCGTAGTAAAGGACTGACTGGCATGATACCGTAGGGATCAACTGTCACCTTCTCAGGTTCCATACGACTGGACCCTCCTCATGCCTACATAAAAGATCATAAACGTATCAAAGACATCACCCCCTTAAAGGGTATGTGGATCCATAGGGAATAGGGATGAGTGTACCTCTAAAGAAACAAGCCTGCAGGTGTTTGGACGATGTTTGCTTTGGTGGTGAGTAGCGAGTGCCATGTTGATGGACAAGAGGCTGCAGTAGCTAGGAATGATGGCAACCTCCTGTTCCCTTGAGATGAATCCACTTTGTGCATGAAAGATGTGGAAAACCCTCGTACAAGACAGATCAAATCTTCACCTTTGCAAGGAAAGAGTTGTACTCCGGCAGTTCTATGGAGGGTCTCGGGGTGCCCAGAACATCCACTGACTTAGGGAATCAACACCACCCCCACGTGTGACTCCTAGCCCCTAGCTCATTGATGCATTTGAGGGCTCGGTGCAAGATGGTGGACCCAATAGAACTGGAATGGAACTGGGACTTGTAAGGCTGGTTGATCGCTGCCTCCCTTGGCAACCTACAAAAACTACTGGAACCCGTTTTGTGGGTCACGAAAGGAAAACTATTAAAGACATAGATATTATGTTTGACGACAACAGCAGAAGGGTCGGATGAACTGCGTTTTGAAAGCGTTCATGGATGTTCATGGTAATTCATGTGAATCAGCCACCGACGAAAATCTCTACATGGTACAAGACCTACATTCTTCGGAAGGAAAAGGAGATGAATCAAACTTGGATTCTTGGATTTGCTTAGGGAACAGGGAAAACATATTCCTGATAAGGGGATTCATCCATAAGGAACATACACCATCACACTATTCAAATCCAGGATCTGTGGCAAAACTTGCAACCTCCAAGGCGACCATCTGGGAGCAAGAAAACATGGTCTAAGCCGAATCGATCTTGGAAAAAAAAAAACGGATTGAATAAACCCACTGGTGGACAAATCAGGGGGATCCTTCTAGATCACAATTGATCTATTATATAAGTATTATATAAGATCATACAGTATACCAAGAAAATGATCCCCCTCATGAAACCTGGGAACCTTCTACTCCAAGGTTCACCCCTTGGGAGATTCAATACAAGAAATTGGATCAAAGATCCCCCATTCGAAGGACCGGACGCACCGGCTCCCGGTGTGTCCTGTCACCGATTCCCTGGCGACACCGAAGAGAAAAAGGACATTCTGAACTTTAGCCACTTAAAGACCGTCTTTAAAAAGGTGGGCTGCTCTAGACTCTAGGCTTTCCCGATTGAAAACCATTGAAAACCCTAAACCCTAAACCCTCACTGCCGGGTCGTTCGGAACCAGGGTTGGGAAAGGCCCCACCACGGCCCAGGTCGAACCATTGGTGAGTCTAACCCTGACGACCATTGTTCACTTAGAATTCTGGAGAGGTTTGCTTGTCCCAAGCTTCAGAAGTGCCATGTTCTGCGGTCTTGAGGAAAGAAGTCCTGTAGTTCTCTACAGTTCTTGGCAACTTTGCCTGGTGACTGGTGACTTTGCTTCTTTTCGACCAGCTAGACCCGGCTAGACAAGGACACCTGGCTGGAGATCCCTAAGTATGTGACAGTATGTAGGGTAATTCATTGACGAACTCAAATTGGATGGTCTTGCTATACATTGGTTGGACAATGCTGTAAACAATGTGAACTTGATTGAACCCCAACCTCCACTCATCGACTTCTAGCATTCTCTCCCCTTCCTCCGCACTAGAACCTTCCTCCAGCTCTGCTATCCGCGCCGGACGTGCAAATCGGCTGGAGGAAGTGGCGAGGGCACGCCACAGCACGTGCAGCAAAACCTTCTTCGGCTCATGTCCTGCAAGTTAGCTTATGCAGAATGAGCTGACATGGATGGTTTTGGCTTGCGCGGATGGTAGCTTAACTTGGCATTGGGAAGCCCCACCCAGTCTCTTGTTTGGAAATTACTAGTTGGGGATGTTTCAGATTCGATTCAAGATCAACCCAGTTGCTCGATCCCCCAAACAAGTCAACTGTCTCCTTCTAGATCCGCCTCGAAAAGCCCAAAAACCGCAGGACCCCATAGGTGAAGGACTGCAAAGCCAGCGATACGTCCCTTCTCAAGTGGCACCTGCGTCCACACCCCCCAGGTCTACGGCGAACAGTCAGCTCGACAGACCGACCTGTGATTTCTCTGGTCTTTTGGACAAACGTGTGTCCGGTCTCACCCAGGTCCAGTCTCCTGGTCCAGTCCTGACCTCCGAAAAAGAAGTAGTTTTTTCTGATCAACTCCAGTATTTCATCTGGTCCAACTGACTTGTAGGGTCTGGGCCAACCCAGAAATAGCTGAAGTCAGCGGCCTTTGAAAAGCCCGTAGAAGCCTTCGAAAAAGCCCGGCCAGGGGATCTCTCACAGCGATTTCGACACTCCAAGGCTTGGAAAAAGGAACTACCCACAGATGGGTCATAGTTTGGCATAGTCTGGCCACCCAAGAAGGGACAAGCGATAGCCCTAGACTTCGACGGGGAGGGTGAGTCATTAATTGCTCTTCCTCTTCGATCAGCACAAACAGCTCAGAGTAAACGCCCATGTATGGCCCCTTTTTCCAGATCCACCCATCTCCTACACTT